TAGAGCCCACAAACCAAATTACAAATCATATCCAAGCTCTTCAGTTAGTTTTAGTCCAATTTAGTTTATTTCTGCAAATCCCTGAAGAAATAAACTGTTTGCTTTGCTTGGAAAACTTAGCAGTTTGCTATTTTTTCATCTGTTTGGACAGAATACCAAAGGCACTTTCTGAGAAAGTGTTTACAGACCTCAAGACCAAACAAGAAGCAGCTAAACAAGCACAGAAGAGAGAGAATCCGTCAACAGGTACGACCATTTATCACTCTGAGTTTGGCGATGGCTTTTGAAATTGAGTCAGATGTGGTGGACATCCAAACGTTTTCAACAGCAAAACTCTCTGACTCAGTCAGGCTAACATTGAAATACTGATGGCTGTTTTTTTTTATCTGACTGATTTCAGCTACAAACCAGAAGAGCAAGAAGAGGAAACGTGTGGAGGATGATAAATCTATTCAGCAGCACAGGCTTACATCTAAACAGGTTTGCAGCTTTTGTTTGTCTTGTGTCAAATAAAGGGTCTCGATAAACTAATCACAGCCCTTCAACTTTTTACGTTTTGTCACACTACAAAACATAAAGATGTAAAACGAAGACATTTGTGAACAAACGGCATCATGAAAACCACGGAACAAGAAAACATTGTAGGGAAACAATCTTACAAAGAAATAGCTGTCCACTCAATCTGATTAAAGGGAACCAAGAGGCCTGTGCTAAATCTGATGGAGCTGTAGGCAAAGTCCAAACTTAAAGGAATTTGCAGCAAGACGTGAACATTCCTGCTTGCGGATGCTTAACTTGAATGAGTTTGAGCTTTTTCACCAAGAAGAATTGGCAGGAATTTCAGTCTCAGCATGTGCAAAGACGGTTGAGATTCAAGCAGAACAATGTTTTGCAATTTTATAATTCCTGCCGTATCACTGTCACAAGGAACTGCTTGGGCTGCAATAAATATTTGCTAACTAGTTAAGTGTTATGCTGTTATACTCTGAGTGTATCATTTAAAATTCCAATAAAATTCCTTGAAATTTGGTTGTCAAAGTTTAAGGGGAATGAATATTTTTGTGGAGCATTGTGGGCTGATATGTCTGATATATATCATGTTAAAAGCAGTTTAATGTATCTGATGCCATTTTTGTTCCTTTCTTTAATGTCCACAGAGAAGAGCAGTGGACCGTGCCAAGAAGGGGAAGAAAGTTGGAGTGCGTTACTATGAAACGCACAATGTGAAAAACAAGAACAAGAACAGAAAGATTCCAGCACCGCCTGCAGAAAGTCGTGGGGCTAAAAAATCAAAGCACTAGACTGGGAATAAACACAAAACTATACATATTTAAACTGGCCAAATTGGCTACATTTTATTGAAATGACAAGCTAGGCAAAAACTTGAAGCTAAACATCGACGTGTCTTTTTTCCAGTGGTCATGTGAAACTTTATTTTGACTACAAGCAAATGGCCGCACCTTGCCCTCTCAACTCTTGAACTGCATGTAATTCCTCATTCACAAGTGAGCTGCTCTCTTGACATTCAAGAGAAATGTTCAGTGTGTTAACTGCTTAAAATATAGCTGTCATGCTCTACAAATAAAATGCTAAATTTTCTGCAGCTGTCAACTCATTCATTTATCAAGTGGAGAAAAAATACATCTTGTATTAAATCTGCTATCCGGTGTGAGAGGTTTCACTTCTTTGGATTAATCATCCCATCCAGTTGTGTCTGAAAGCAAAAAAAAAACATATACTATTAATTTTTGGACATTCTACACATCACAACACATTTGGGTTGTTATACAATAGAAAAAGTCACCTTGAGCTGTTGATTGGTTTTCTTCAAGAACTGAATTTCCTCGCTGAACTTTCTTTCCTCCACTTGTCTCTTCTCAGCTTCCCTCTTTTCGATTGCATCACATCTCTCCTTCTGTTCATCCAGTTGTCTCATGAGTTCCTGCTTCTCACTTTCCAGATCTAAAATCTACAAAGGTGATGGAAAAACACAGCAGGAAGTTCCCAGTCTTTTAAATATCTGCAAAGAAATGGCGCTCTCTGCTGGACTTGTAATAACAGTGCAGTTTAACGGTTTAATCAGTAAGCAAAAGAGACGAAGCTCTTTGAATACTGTTTTGTTTTTTTCCAAGTCTAATGACTACAGATAAGCTGATTCCCTTACTTTTTTTTCTATGTCCGCTTTTCCCTGTTCAGCCTGCAGTGCCTTTCTCATGCCAAAAGCGATGCTGCTTTCGTACAGCGTCTGGTACGTGGCAATGGTCATTTTAAGCTCATCTCTGACTCGCAGCAGAAGCAGACCCCTCTCAGCACAGATTATGGTTACCTGTCTGATTAATTCGTCTAGGAAGAAAAATCAGATTTAAATCAGTTTGTGAGAACCTGAAAGCATAAACCATAACTAATACATTTAAAATCCAGCTGTGTAAATCTCTAAAAATATATTTACTAGAAATGTCTGGAATGTTGTAACCTTATGCTAGCACTGCCTCAGCATGATGTTATCTCACTCATCTGACAGCTAGTTAAGTATTTTGAGATTTTAAAGTCTCAATTTTGAAAAGCTCAGTTTTGTCTCTTTATGCAGGCATTATTTTCTCCAAATCGCTTTTTTTTTTTTTTTCCATCCGAGCATCTGTATATTTCATTCATACTTCACAGTGTTGATTTTGGAACTGGCTCTTGTTTTTCACCAGGACCTTCCTGGTCTGTGTAGACCATTTCCCAGTTTAGCATACTTTGGCTGTGATGCTTCCCAAATATCTAAATCAATTCATTTTAATCTGACAGCAAAGGTTTGGGTCAGATAGTTGAGAATCGAAGGTGTTCCAATAGGACAATTTCTCTGAATCGATATGAAAATTAGCTTCAGAAGTCTAACATTGAGCTTCCTGAACAATCTCTCCAAAGTCCTGTCCTAATCTCTAATGAACATTTTTAGACTTTTTTTTTTTTTTATTGATTCCATCCTGGAAAACCTCATATGTTCAAATGTACACTACCGTTTTTGCCCAGAGGACTGGTCAAATATCCAGTTGGAATTATGCTTGCGGCTTGATGACTTTAAAATGTGTGTGATCAAGCTGCAACTTGCTACATTTACCCAATTATTAGTGGAGCTCTATCGAAATATTTCTGAATAATTTTGAAAGAAATATTTAGTAAATTCTAACTTGAGCATTCAATTCTGGATATGAAAATAATTCAAGAGGATACATAATTTTTCCACCCAGGAAGATCATTTCAGTTGCACCAATAAAAGGACAAAAATTAATACAACCTATATCTAAACCTCAGATTGTAATAGTGAGTTTCATGATGGTGTCATATCCACTGACTTCTTACCAAAACACTGAGAATAAAGCTCTCTGCGGATAGGACAGATGCCTGTGTGTCTGGCCTGTCTCTGCTCCAGCTTTGTGTCCAGCTCTTCCTTCAGGTGAATTATTTCTGGTCTTGTACAAGGTACACTGGATACCTTCTGCACCCACAGCTGGCTTCCTTCTGACCATTCCCTACAATATTGATGGTTGAGAAGGTTGAACTTAATGAATCAGTTTACTAAGTAAAAGGACGGGTATACCTGGGTGGAAGGATTGCATCCAGGATCTCCTCGTTTTCCATTTTGCTGACATCACTGGTTGTAGGTTTTGTTTTAGGAGATAGTGGAACTGGTGCGGTGTCAGGGCCCTGCAGAGGGATCCTTTTTATTTGACGTACCTGTTAAGAGACATATTCTGCAGTGAGTTCATTATTCATGATACAAGAATACTTTTATCATTCCACATCTGTTGGGAACGCATTGAAATAATACATGAGCCCATGAGATTATAAAAGTCATATCATATTCCTTTTGTCTTAGGGTGACATCTGTCTATTCTTGCTTTGTAACAATTTTCACTTTCAAAATCCTATTAAATACATTGTAATATAAGTCAAACATGGGCACCAGTCAGGCCAACTGTGGGCACCAAGGCACTTGGTGCCCACATTTAATCATTTAATCATTCTTAAATATGTGTTTGGGCATAATTCAAAGTGTTTCCAAATATTCATCTTTCCTTCTCGGTAGTTGTCACTTCCACCTCAGTGGCGACTTACCTTTGGAGATTTCTCCCCTGAGGTTGTCTTGACCAACATTGGAGTATCATATTTCAGAAGAGAATCCGCTGGCGGAATCATTTTTTTCTCTTTCTTTTAAAATAAAAAATAAAGTTATTTTTGCCTTCAGACACGGAAATATCGCTGCTCGTTAAAACTGTTGATGATGTTGTCATGGTAACACTGTCCTCGCGTTCTTTCTGTTCAAGTAAAAATAGGTTTGAAATGGTGTAACAAAAAAGAAGACAACTTACAAAGTGTCGGATTTTTTTACAATACACCCCAATTATTTTTGTATTTTGGAAAAGAAACAATATCGGATCTTTTTTGACAAAGATTTAGATGGGTAGACGACTGACACCGTAGATCCATAGAAACGACACGTTAGCGCGTTCGTCATCTTGTGAGTGGCAAATTGCCCTGGAAATAAAAAAAAGACAAGAATGTTTTTATTTATTTATTTATTTATTTATTTATTTATTTATTTATGTTTATTTATGATTTTAGTTATATTACGAACAAGTTAAATTATGCACAGTATTGGATGTTAACTTTTAGCATTGGTAATTGTTAACTCTCAAGAAATTCACCTACGAAATGTACCAAAGTTAATTCAGTTTCAGATATAATATTTAAATTGTATTTTGCCATTCGTTTTGTCAATGTACAAGTATTTGTGGATTGAAACAGTTTAATCTTGTTTTTCACGTACTAATAATATAATTGCCTTTAATGTTTCCTTTTGAGCGTACTTTAGCTTTAGGTTATGATTTATCCATGTACTGTATCGGCACCTGTCGTAAAACCGAAGAGCTCTGTAATGATAGGTTACGCACATTCAGACGATAGTCATATAGCTGACGGACTTGTGCAGCTATTTCACTTCTATCGCATTAAAACATACCACTCACAAGATGGCGGAGACGCCGACGCACGATCCCGACACTTTAGCGTTTACACCGGAACTTAAAAAGGAACACGGCAAGCACATCGTCGAGATAAATTCTTTGTGAACCACAGGAACCGGAAAGGGTGATCACGACGCAAGAGTAGAACTTTAGTAAGGGTTTAAAGCTGTGTTTTTTTGCTTGTTTGTTTGCTTCTGAGTAAAGATGTACATTTAGTCGCGTTAAAATCGGATTGGTACATTCATTTTCTCTAAAAAAATGACCAAAGAGAAACGACACCGAAGAAGGGAGTCTCCGACGCGAGAGACCGAAGTAAAGATAAAACAGGAGAAACTGAGCCCCAGTAGGCCACAGAGATCACGCCGTTCGAGGTCCAGATCCGCCGGGACATCAAGTCCACCGAGAAGAAGAGCGAGCAGGTGAATGTAATAAAGTCGTCATATCTGGTTATATAAGATAGAATGGAGGTGCAGTGTTCCCTTGTTTTTATATAAACTATATTTTAACTTGGAGATCGGCCTGAATCTACCAGGACATGGATGTTGGTGTTGCTGAAGCAGGGTTTCATTCATTAAACTACGGATCAATAGTTAATTATCAATAATTCACAAAACCTGCTGCCTTTATCACAGATCAATAACACTGAATATATTTTTGCGCATTTTTTTTCTAATTGTGTACAGAATTGTAGGAAACGACGAGTAGTTCTGTTCGTTACCTGTTGCTACGATGTGGCTACAGTTTGTTCAACCTGTTGTCAACACCAATTACTCTCTGGTACTTAAGTTGTTATAGCTCTGGAACTAAGACATTAAATCAGATACCCAAAATTACTGTTCTGATGCTCAAACTCACAAAAGTTTATATCCCCTTCTTATTGTACAGAATGATACTGGAGAAATTTGCGACCAATCATAGATTCATGATTGAACGAATCATGATTTCTGAGTGAATTATATGTCATATGTTTTAAAATTTCAGCAAAATTTCTGCTCAAGAGTCTGTTTTACATTTCATACAGATCACCGGCCAAGGCAAGGCAGCGCTCACCAGATAGAAGGGAAACCTCTCCTGTTGGAACAAGCAACAGATCTCCCAGAAACAGAAGAAGTCGCAGTCCTCATCGTGGCAGCGATGCCAAAGTGAAGCGGGTAATTCGGTTTGAATCATCAGATCAACACTTAACTGGGGGGAGAGCTAGGTTTGAAAACTTATAAACCAGTTGGTCTCTAATAATAAAGTTTAGGATCACCATGATGGGTTGTACACATAAGTGTTCACACTCTTTGACCTCTTCCATATTGTGCCACAGAACAAATACAAACGCCAATGCACTCCACTGGGGTTTTACAAAAAGTGATGCATTAATGAAGAGGGGGAAAAAATGATTTAAGGTATTTAAAAGTTTTGCAAATAAAAAGCCAGAAGACGTGGCACATTTACGTATTCACCCCCATTTAAAATGAAACCTCCCAATGAAATTCAGTCTAACCAGTGGAATTTGTGGGATTAGTTAATTGAGTCCACATCTGTATTATGTCAATATAAACCAGCTGTTCTATGAGGTCCTCTGATGCTTGTTAGAAAACATTAGTAACCCGCTCAATTTTGTTGTTGCAATGAGACGTATCATGAAAATGTGTTTGACATATGAATACCTTCACAAGGCATTGCCACAACATATACGAATGGTAAATGCAAATGACAGGCACATTCAAATATGGATTTTTTATTTTATTTTATTTTTTTCTGATTTCCTGAATGTCACCTGTAGTTAGTGAGCCACAATTTGAGTAAAGGTGCCACAAGCTATTTAAATAATTATTGTTGCAAAACCGTCTTTTTTTATTCCAGATTACTATAGCTAATGTAATTTTACATGTGTCAGTATTTTAATAAAAAGATAGTAAACTGTGCTATATCCTATAACACATTATGACCACACTTTAGTTCTTAAATATGGCGCTGATAATATATCACAACCGATCATATTTGCTTTGTAAATGCTTTCTTTTTAAATCCCACAGGAAAAGGAAGAACAAAGGGGAAGTGGTGATGAGCGGAGAAGAAGGAATGAGCAGTCAGAGGACAGACGGAGCAGGTGGGAATCAGACAGGCCGCGGGACAGAGAACGCAACAGAGACAGGAATCGCGAACGAGCCGCTCTGGCTTCTCAGCAAGAGGAGCGCCGGCAGCATGATGACCGACGCAGGGAGAACCGCCAACGGCGTGAAGAAGAAGAAGGCGAGGAACATAACTTCGGAACCTCTGACGGAGGGAGTGACGACTCAAGGCCGCCTCCGGCTGAGAAAGAGAAGCCCAACTTTGAACTGTCAGGCGCGCTCACGGAAGACACCAACACGTTCCGGGGCGTGGTGATCAAGTACAACGAGCCGCCCGAGGCTCGCATCCCAAAGCGCAGATGGAGATTGTACCCCTTTAAGAATGACGACCCCCTTCCTGTCATGTACATCCACAGACAGAGTGCCTATCTGTTGGGGCGCCAGAGAAGAATCGCTGATATCCCCATTGACCACCCGTCCTGCTCCAAGCAACATGCGGTATTCCAGTACAGGTGGGAAGAATACCTGTCAGCAGCTGTTATTTTTTTTGTTTGTCATGATGAATGTAAATGGTACGCTGTTCTGTGTTTTGCAGATTGGTTGAGTATACTCGAGCCGACGGCACCACTGGCCGCAGGGTAAGGCCTTACATTATTGACCTTGGTTCTGGGAACGGCACCTACCTGAACAATCAGCGGATTGAGTCCCAGCGTTACTATGAGCTCAAAGAAAAAGATGTCCTCAAGTTTGGCTTCAGCAGCCGTGAGTACGTGCTGCTGCACGAGTTCTCGGACACGAGCGAGGTGGATGTGAAGCAGGAAGAGGAAGACGACGAGGGAGTTGATGAGTAATTTATTCCCACGTACTCGATTGTTCACATATATTCAGGCAAGATCACTAAAATTGTTAAAAATGCAGAGCTGTCTGCTGAAAACGGACCTGCAAACTGGTAAAATGCAGGAATTAATGCCCCAAAAGCGAGTGGAATTGTATATTTTCTGTAAGTAATGAAGTCTTGCTTGAATCTGCCACAGTTGTCTCAAAGTAGACCTTTTCTCAGGTTTGTGTGATGCATGATTGATCTTTCTGATCTCATGTAATGTGTCAGGGTACATAGCATTACTGCGGTGTGATCCCTGGATCCTTAAATAAAGATTTCTTATTGACAGAATAAACATTGAACTACAGATTACATTTATTTTTCTTTTGACATTTTTGTAGAGCAAGCACAGGGAAAATATTTGACTTGTGCATCTTTGCACAACTACAATGTTTATTCAAAGACTTGCCATTTCTTTTTTTTTTCAGTTCAGATGCATTTATAGTAAGTGTTAATTTTTGTACTGTAAATAAAAGCTAAAAATTTAGATCAAACAATTGTTTTGTTGTTTTGTGGTGATTTTTTTGTATTCTCTACATTTCTGTTGTCCATTAAACAAGGGAAAGAAATAGAAGTATACATATTCTGAGCTTTCATTGCCTTTTAACAACTAAGTAAAAGCCAACTGATCATGTCATGGATTTGTATGCTTCTGATCAAATCACATCAGCTGAGTAAAATGGAGGCTGGGAAATTCTGGGACACAGATGGCATCATAAAAAAAAAAAAAAAAATTATGATGAAATATTGAAACAACATCCAAGATATTTTCCAGGAAATTAAAGCTTAGGAAAGCATTGGCCTTCTGAAAGGATATGTGACCGAATTAGTGCATAAGTTTAGCTGCTTAAGGGAAACAACGTAAATGTTTTAAAGTGGCCATATGAAGCCTGTTGGTTTGAAAACTTGTGTGAATTCGCTCCTAATGCCTGATATATTCACAAATTAAGAAGACCGTGAACACAAAATGTGTGTGGGTTCTTTGTTTGTTTTTGTTTATCAGTTCCAACCAATGCTTTTGAAAGAATCCAACAACAGATAAGTTGTAGACTGACTGGATAAAAAAAATGTTTTCTGCTGAATCAAAAATTATTTTAAAAAAATCACATTTTTACTTATTAACAGCAAAAACAATAGCATTAAATGACATCACTGTATTTCTGTCCAATTTTTAACATTTTAATTTCCATTCATGTAATGTGGATAAACTTGTTCATGATGTGTCGCGCATCACGGTAGTTTCGCCGCATCGACACTAGGTGTCGCAAAAGGGGCCACAGATTCTACAAACCTACGTACTTTGCTCACTCTTTCCACATGCGGCCCCTGGACTGTTCGTGCGTAAGTCGTTGTCTTAATTTCAGCGTACGGCAATTCCGAGTAGCAAATCGGCAAGTCCTTTGCACATGAGTGCTCGGTTCGGTTTCGGCCTCAGGAGTAGGGGAGGAGGCCGGGCCAGGAGGGCGGATCCTGTGGTGGGAAGCACTGGGAGTGCTTGACGGGATGTGGGAAGAGCGAAGGCGGCTGCGGCACACCTGGGAATTCACAGGAACAAGCAACGGTGTCTTCACTTTTCCACCACAAAACCAGAACATGCACTAACTTTCAGGCACATTCGCCTGGAACAATGTACACGACGGAGCGCAGGCGGATGAGCCTGCGTGACGGGAGGAGGAAGGATCCCGTGTGGGTGTCCGCTGGAAGTTTGTGGCAGGACTCTTCGGTGCTGGAGCTGACAGCCAGCAGCGGCGGGTCGGGCAAGCAGCTTGTATCCCCGCGCAGTCGGAGCAGAGCGGTGTCCGTGGCTTATATTGTCAGCGAGGACGCGTCTGTGCCGCAGACAGAGGAGAACTTGTCGCTGAAGTGTTTGAAGGAAGCCTGCGCAGACGCGCACGCCTCTTTCAGAACAGTTTCTTTTGGTCAAATTTCAGTGGGAACCACAGACATCCTGGATAGTTTCTACAATGCAGGCAAGTGTAGGCACGCAGACTGAAGGGGGAATATATGTTGTTATGCCTAACAGTTAAACTCACCCTGCCTGTTCATCTCTCCGCAGATGTAGCCGTCGTGGAGATGAGCGACTCTTTCTGCCAGCCTTCTCTTTTCTATCACCTGGGAGTGAGAGAGAGCTTCAGCATGACAAACAACATTATCCTGTATTGTTACAGGCAGGACAGCGATCTGCAGGCTCTGAAGGTAACACGTGTCTATCTAATGGTTTGAAATCCGGGTAAAACTTTAACCAGAGCATGCAGCCATGCTGGATTACAAAACTGCTGTCTGGCTGTCAGACAAGACACGCCAAAGAAACACTGTAGAGTTCATGACTATTGGATTTTTAATGAATGTAAGTGCAGGCAAGTACATGCAGTGTGCTTTGCGAAAACCATATACTTATGATGATTATTTACTGGGCCATGATTTGTGGAAGGTTCAAAATCCAATTATTCCCATTATCGCTTATGAAACAACTGAACAGTTGTTTTTTTTTTCTTTTCTAGAACATGTATTGTAGGTGTGTACGTTTTAGGGTGCAGTATAGATGCATCGCACTAGGTGTATTTATTTTGAGTAAAATATTTCAGGAGTTTATATTTTTCTAATTTCTTTAAAACAATTGTCCTTAAAATGCTTGAAAAGAATACTGTGAACTGTCAAATATTCTTTCCTATAGCTATGTAGCTGCATGGCATTTCTGCGCACAAAATCTTTGTCTTATTGGTCTATGGTAGTATTCTGTATTTCATTTTCACGGAAAGCTGAATTTGTAAGTTTCAGGTCTTCTGCATATGAGCTTCAAGTTTTGAATTGAATGATTGAACTAGATGAACTTCTCAATGAAATTCTAACATGTCGGATGGAGCTATTGTAAATATAAAACAGACACACTATAATCAAGAATTTGGGGTTGCATAAAATTGTTAAGTCCATTATTTTGCAGCATAATCTCGTATTTGGGTGTTTCAGTTTATTTCTAAAAGGCTTCTTTTTATTCAGACTTGGGGTTATTTTGTCATAAACTTTCCAATCAAATGCCATCAGGCATGCACAGAAACTGAAACTGTGGCCCAAAGCCACAGTGCTCCTCACAGTGCTCACTGATGCCTGTTCTGTTTGTTTAGGAACAGTGTGGGAGTTACACCTTCATCCCCTACGTGGTGTCACCTCAGGGCAAAGTGTTCGCCTGTGATGCCACCATGATGACATGCATCAAGGAGCTGATGCAGCCCAGTTTACAGCTGGAGCCCCTTCTGACCCCGCTGGTGGAGAGGCTGGTGCACCTGTTGAACAATGTGCACATTCAGTCCAGGTCAGTTAAACGCCACAGTTCTCCAATTGCTTGTTTTATCATGTCCCTGCGTGCACTGTCAACCCAAATCAGTAATCAGTACTAAAGCCACGTATGGTTAAGTGACTGCATTGGGTTGTCTAGGTTTTGCAAAATTAAAAACCAAACAAATCAAGCTCTGTTTACATAAAGTATTATGTCCAATATAATGAATTACTAAAGAACTAAAGGTTTTAAAACTGTTTATGAGTAATTAGCTCAACCATTAATCACATATGTCAGTAATTGTTATGATTATCAGTGTTTGTTACTTATATTTATCAGTAATTCTTACTTGTGTGTATAACTGAATCAAATTTGCGCCCTACCATATGTCGCCAAACTATCACATCAACCTAATGACCCTGATTTCCCCACTTCATTACGTTAATGTGATCAGCAGGAAACCCATGCAGCCAACTGTCAGATGAAACGTGCATTAGGCTCGAGGGTCTTCTTCTTCTTCTTCTTTGTGCTGGCAAACGACTCAAATGTGCATTACTGCCACCGACTGGCTCACCTGTCTAGTGTTCACTGACAAATCTCTCCCAAAATCAGTAAAAACATGTAAAGGAGAGGAGTCTCAGCTAAGAGCCAATACTACAGCAAATACTTGTTTTGTTTAGTAATGGTCCCCCCTTTTTTGCAAAATAACGAAAAGATTAGTACTAGTATATGTAGTATGTGTAGAATACAATTTGGGTTTACAGTGTATGAACACCTTGTAAAAACACAACTTTCCAAACTTCAAACTCCACCTGTTTTGGTTTATAGAAGATTGTGAAACAGTGGAAAGGCACCTACTTTCCTTTGTGTCTTTGCTAACAGCGAGTACTTCCGGGAGTCACTGAGGCAAGAGATCCGCTTGGCCCGGGAGCGATTCAGTGGAAAAGCTCTGAGCGAGGAGCTGAGTCGCATCCAGAGTCGCCTGGATAGCGTAGATCTGCTCACGCCGGATATAGTCATGAACTTGTTGTTGTCCTACAGAGATGTTCAGGTGATCACTTTATGAGTTTTGTCTAGTTTTAGTATGTGAACAAACTAAATAATAATATAATAATAATAATAACTAATAATAACCGAGGAAGGTCTCTATGTCTTGTAAAAAGATGTGTGAGTTAAATGTTGAGATTTAACTGATCATAAAACCATTTTTCTTAAATTAGAAAAAAAGGCTTATTATGAAATAGTTTACAGGTTCTTGGCGCATAGTGCCCAAATTTCCTATGCAATTGAGACAAAAAGACACATTTTCTCCGTAATTTTTGTTCCTACTTTGTTACTTTTCTATAGGATTATGATGCCATGATCAAACTGGTGGAGACTCTGAACAACCTGCCGATGTGTCAGGCAGCAAGGCATCAGAATATCAAGTTTCATTACATCTTTGCTCTGAACAGGTACCCACCTGTTTGTGTAATCTACATAATTAAACATTTGTAATCACCTCCTCTCTGGTTTCAGCCATGTGTTTTGTTATATTCTTTGCACATGGCTTTTGCTTGTTGTGTTTGCATTCAGTCCTCTAAAGGACTTAGTCAAAGCTGCCAGGCTGCAAATATAATCCCTTTATCCCGTTTTTAGGAGGAATCACCCCGGCGATCGAGCAAAGGCTCTGAAATTAATCTTGCCCATTGTGGAGTCGGGAGATAAAGTGGCATCAGACGTCTACTGCCTGTGTGGACGGATCTACAAAGACATGTTCATGAGCTCGGGCTTCACTGACGTGTCCAGCAGGGACCAGGCCTGTTATTGGTACATCCAGTTTGTGTGTTTTTGGATCCGGTCATATACTGGTGCTTCTCAGGATATTAAAATAAGCATAAAAAAATTAAACTCGGTTAATGTATAGAATCACTAGAAGAGAAAATAATGTATTTCGATTGTTTATTTCTGTTGATTTTGCTGAAAGTAGCTCACAGTTAATGAAAACCCAAAATTCAGTTAGATCATTGTATTCAAACTAAAATGTAATATTTTAAGAAAAAAAAAATCACAAAGAGATCTGCTGACTTGACAGTTGTCTAGAAGATTGTTTTTAGCCTGAGGGAGGAGGGTAGGTCACAAGAGGTCACTGGTGATACTGGACAAATACTGATAGTCAAGAATGTGGCTGTTTACAGTGATGAGTGGAAGGAAAACTTGTAGGAAACAGAAACCAAAAGCAAA